ACGACGCAAATCGGATGCAGTGTGAATCCAGCACAAGCCCATGACATATACAAAAACTCAAGGAAGTAAGACGTAAGCAGTAAGCGAATTGGCCAATTAGACTACCAATCAGAAACTCGGACATCAATATCGCTTCTCTCTATATATAGGACTCTAGGCTCTATAGTGCTCTACGGATAGCGGGAGAGGGTAATGCCCATTTCTACCAATATAGATTAATTTTAATCTCGGTTCAACTTACTCTTCGTCTTTTTCTAATCTTTAGAACTAGAAAAAGACAAAGATTAAGTTGAACCGAGATTAAAGTTGATCTGCGTTGGTGGAAACGGACCTAAGTGGGTTTAGCTCATAGCGTTTTCTCCCGATCGGATTTGCACCAACCTGAGTTGGATTAATCTTTCCTATTGATTAACGTCACCCGCTCTACCAATAGGAGAGCACAAAACGCCATTAATCCAATCCAGGGTACCTATCATGAAATATGTCGGAATGGATTCCGATCGGAATTATTCCGTTTACCCTAGAAAACACAATAGAAATCTAGGGAATAATTGAATATTTCCGATCGGAATCGATTCCGACTTGTTCTATAATAGGTATTCAGGTTGGTGCAAACCTGGCCGGGCCGACAATGCTATTGCTGGATTCACACTGCATCCGATTTGCGTGTACGACGCTCTGCAACCAATCATAAAACAGGATTCCGATGGATTTTGACCTTGAAATATTCCTCCCACTCCCTCATCCCTATCTCCTTATTTATCCCCTTCCATCTCTTCCTTTCCTTGTTTACTATTTCCCACACTTGGAACTGGCCGAACTGACGTTGGGTGCTTTCCAACAAGGGACACAGTCAGACACAGTGTAACACAATGAATCATACGTCCTTGTTGTTTGCTTACGTTAAACAAGGATGAAACGATTCACTGGGTGCTTTCCAGCAAGGGACACAGTCAGACACAGTGTAACACAGTGAATCATATATCCTTGTTGTTTGCTTACGTTAAACAAGGATGAAACGATTCACTGTGTTACACTGTGTTTGATTTTGTCCTTGCTGGAAAGCACCCACAGTATCCGATTTTCGTCGTACGACGCTCTTCAACCAATCAGAAAACTGAATTCCGATGATACGAAGCAAAATCCATCGGAATCCTGTTTTCCGATTGGTTACAGAGCGTCGTACGACGCAAATCGGATACAGTGTTAATCCAGCAATAGGTATGCCGCCTTTTTAGCGCAAGCGCACTAAAGTACTAGTGACTTCTAGAGAAATGCAGTAATGTAAAGGTTGAAAAGCGAGGAGGCCGGGGCCGCGGGCTAAACTGTTCGTGAATTTTTACGCGCGAGAATTGGAGAAAAGGCATATACATTATGTGTAATTTATTTCGCGAAAACAAAGAATCGAGAAGCACTAGATGAATAAGATATAATATGTAGAAGATAAGTATAGATTTGGCGGGATTTGGCAATATGTGATTCACAGTGTAGATAAATCTATACTTATCTTCTACATATTACATTTTACTTGTTTAGTACTTCTCGATTCTTTGTTTTCGCGCAATAAATTACATATAATGTATATGCCTTTTCTCCAATTCTCACGCGTAACCACGAACAGTTTAACCCGCGGCCCCGCGCTTTTCATCCTTTACATTACTAGATTTCTCTAGAACTCACTAGTATTGTAGTGTGCATGCGCTAAAAAGGCGGCATACCTAACAACACTTGTTTAGCTGGGTCACTGAGTCGCTGGGTTTAGTTCGTTAGAGACGGGCGGGGAATTCCCTGTTTCATATTTACCGGGTATCAATCATGAAACTTTATTCCTAGGATGGAAAGTGAAAAGTGAAAAGTGAAAATTTTAACTATTTAAGTTAACGGAGAAATTTTTCACTTTTTACTTTCCATCCTAGGAAAAAAGTTTCATGATCGATACCCTGCAAGCGAAAGTATTTTCCCGTTTAGAAGACGAGGGCTGCTAGGAATCATCGATATATATTACACAAGGTTGTTTTTGTAAAAATTATTCATAAATACGTTCGCGGCAAGGAAGGAAGACGCTAGTTTTTGTAGTCATTGCGAGAGTCGTGCGCACGTGCTTGTAAAAATGGCGGACTTTGTGCACGGTGAAACCAACATGTCCAACAATACTCAATTAAGTCCGAAATCCATGGGACGTAGGAAGAAAAAGAAGAACAAGAATAAGAAATGGAAGAAGGTATCTAACAATGCCAAGGTATGTATGCGTATTTATTCGGGCCGTGTTTATAATAATTATTTGAACAAAATATTGAAATCACTGTTGTACTGTACTGGTCCTGGCACAAGTTAATGGACCTTTATAAACCAGGCTGGTTTCGGATTTAATATATTTCCCTCTCCTGTTCTTTCTTGGGCTGCGTTTGGAAACTGGGTACTTTCGTATATCTTCTTATTTAACGTTGAGTGAACAACACGAGGTCTTTTTAGCTAAATTTCTTGCATGATTTATCTTCCTTTTCTCTCTACGTTTGAGAGAAAAAGCTGACCCGTGCAAAAAGTTCAGCCAAAAAGACAGGCCTGTGGATAAAACCAAACACTTGGGTGATGTTTCCGAATGCTGAGGCTTGGGTGTATTTACGCAGTTGAGAAGGGGGGGGGGGGGTTTATCTGACGAGGTTTTTAATAGTTTTTGAATGTTCATGGCTTGAACAAAAAACAGTTTTATGTATGTCTTTTGTTCTGCATTATATTGTTAGGAGACTCAGTACTATAGTTATCTTTGCAGCAGTACTGTTTGATAGCATAGTCAAAGGAATCATATTGTTGATAATTACGAAAGTAATTACGAAGAGGGACAAAACGCTATTATGTTGTTTTTTATTTTTGTTTTCATTTTTTATTCTTTGCTGTATCAAGATAGTCTCTCGGTATATATATTTTATTTTAAAATTAAAAATTCTTTTTTTTATGACATTAATCATAAGGCTGCATTTTTCAGAGACTTTAGAATTCATTCTTCTTTAAATATAAATTTTTAATTGTCCTGCACATTAGAACTCTAAAATCATTTGCAATACATTTATAATGTAACGGAATGATAATACAGAATCTGAAATCATATATCTGATGTTTGTTTCTTATGTCATTGTATATTGATGCCTATCTTGTTTTGAAATTGGAATTGAAAGAAAACGTTTTCAAAATCTTGAAAAGTCCAGGTGGATTGTTTTATCCGAGGATACTTAAATCAAAAGCTACCAGAGAAAAGAAGTTAAAAACATATATTATACTCATTTTCACCATTTTCTTTAAAAACAGCTTGGAGAGAATTTTTTCAAATTAATTAAAATTAATACTCAATCAATATCAATTTAATAAATAAGTTTCTTTAGTATTAGCATCAACAATTACTTAAAACTTATGGGGCAAAGTGATTATACATTGGGTTTTATATTTAAAAGTTATTAAAAATCGGATGTATTCATAATTGTATCACTTTCTCTACTGCAAAAAGAAATTAAATGCTAAATGAATGGAAAATTTATCTAATTGCACTTTTAGATGGAACATAACAGCCAAGCTAGTACTTCTGGTACTGTAGAAAACAAGGATGGTGATGGGCCACCTAAAGTGTCTTCTCTTCTGACTGATTCCAAGGTTAAGATCACTTGTCTGGAAGTATTCGATAGATTACGAAAATCCATTTATCCGAAATTTAAAAAAAGGGTCTTTTACGTTTATGAACTTCTGTGTTTTTTCATTCCCAAAAACATCAGAGTAATTTATATTTCCTTTTTGACATATTTTCTTAGTGATATCCATGTCAGTGTACTATTGACGTCTAAACGCTATTATTATGAGCGATAATCTTTAATAAATAATATTTAATGCAAATGCTATTGAACTATGTAATAATGAGATAATAAAATGTATAGTTATGTACATGATAATGGATTTTCTCATCGATCGATGGAACTTTCGTAGTATATATTTGTCTATCTTTTAGAAATTTTAATGAAATAATTCATAGCGTCTTCCATGGCATTATATATACTCTAAAAATTATCATAAATTAAAAGATAGATCACTTTCGTGACTGATGCAACTCTTTCGTTGTAGACTCTTTTGCAAAGGGCACAGAAATATAAAAACATAGGAAATGTATATTTCAAAATGGGACAATATGACGAAGCCATCGCTCAATATAATAAAGCAATCGACATTTGTCCAAAGGAGAAACTGAATGAACTCGCAATTTTTTATCAAAATATAGCTGCTGCAAATGAGCAATTGGTAATAAAATTGTTGTTAGTAATAATAAACGTACCATGAAAATCATTTCAATTGATTGTTAAAATCAATTTGGTGGAATTGTTTGTTCATATTTAATATTAATTGTAAAATTGTAATTTGTAGAAAAAATACAGTTCTGTAAAGGCAGATTGTACAAAAGCGTTAGAATTAAATTCAAGATATACTAAAGCTTTGCTACGTCGAGCACGTGTTTTGGAGCAAACAGGGGACTTGGAAGCCGCTTTCAAAGATTTGATTATCGCGTGTATTCACGACAATTTTTCTAATAAAACTTTCCTTGCAAAGACACATGAACTCTGCCATAAGCTTGGTAAATTACATATTAAACTTGGTATTAAATAAAGTAATATTTATAGCAAACTTGAATAGGAATTGAAAAATATAAGAACAGAGAAGTTTAATAACTTGAAGTAAAATCGTTTTCAGTGGAACAACAAGCTTGTGAAAATTTAGCAAACAAAGAGTTTGTATTGCCAAGTAAATATGCCATCGAAACCTGCATTGCATCTTTTCCTAAGGATCCAGTATTTTTGAGACTTCAACATCCAAACAATTTTCCACAGTAAGTATGGGAAGAAAAGTGTTATTCTAATAATTGTGTTTACTTTTTAATAAATACAACATTTTTTTATCAGATTTTTTAAAAAACCGTTAGAAGCGTTAAAAAATGTAGAATATGATGATGTAATACCGCTGTGCACAGAAATCATTAAAAGTGCCGAATTTGATAAATTACCTTCGTCTAAACTAGAAGTATTATTATTACGAGCTACATTTTACGTACTTTCGGGTGACTACATTTCTGCAATCCAAGATTTTGAAAGTATACTAAATAGCGAATACGTATCCGATGACATAAAAATATGCACTCTCGTAAGAAGAGCAAATTTATACATGCAACTTGAGATGTCAGAAGTCGCTTTCAAGGACTTCGAATTAGCCATTACTATAAATCCATGTTATGGCGATATCTACTATCAAAGAGGACAGGTATTAGGCATTAATATTGAGCACATTTTCTCTATATTACGTATTATAACATAATGTAACAATACATTTTTATCATTTCTCTTTTGTCAGACATATTTACTCATGGAAAGACTATGTGAAGCTAAGCGCGAGTTTGAAAAGGCCGTTGAATGCAATTCAAACTTCGGAATGGCATACTTGCAAACATGTTACATGGATTTTAGATTTGCGGACGATAATATAGATTTAGTTAAAGTGGTAGTGAAAAAGTTGGAAAGAGCTTCCAAAAAATTCCTAAATCCTCCTGAAAATATATTTTGTTGTCATCTGTATGTTAACGTACGTATATACGATTATTTACAATTTTTTTTAAGAATAAATCGAATTAAGGGGGCATATACGTTTGGAGCCTAAAAAAAGGCATTTTTCATGAATTTTTTTTTAAATTAAGAGAAAATTATAAAAATGGGATTTTTTTGCATAATAAAGTACACCTTTTGTAATTCTCATACAAATTTTATTAGAATAATTTTATTGGAAAATCCCCCCACTTCACTATTGTGTAGTCAGCCGTGCACACCACGCATGATTCCGCGGTTACAATGATTTCTCTTTGCTCGTTTATCTAAAACACAAAAAACAAACGGCATCTTAAAGAAGAGTAAATTTCCTTGTCGTTGACGTATCCGATTTTAAAAATTCAAATTTTAAACAGAATGGCGGACCTTTAAAGTTAGAGTGCCGATTTTTGATAAAAAATTTCATTTGTTTGTTTAAAAAAAAAATAGAAAGAATTAGAATTTTAAAAATCGAATACGACAAGCGAATTTTATAAACTTTCAGTAAAAAAAAAGGCAAATCGATTGATCCATCTTCAAGTTATCATTGTAACCGACTTTAAAAATATGGTTTTGAGAAAAACGCGTTTAAAGTTTTCGAACAACTTTATTGTAAAATAATTTATTTAACTCTTACACGTCATCGTCAATTCCTGGGCCATAAGGGAACTTTCCTGCTCAAGATTTGCCTTCATTTGATGATTTTTCTGTCGTTGCAGTTTCACCTTCGGCTTGCCACTTATTGGGTGGCAACAGTCGCTTCAGAAAGGGCAAGCGCACGTCTGTGCACTGCCCAACAAAACGCGTTGTAACTTTTTTACTTATTGGAATTTCATAAAACGGTTTTAGGACAATATTCTTGAAGGTTCAAACTGTCGAAAAATGCATTAAAAAAAATCAATTTTTTGAAACCGGCGAACGTATATGCCCCCTTAAAAAGAAATGAGAAAAATAAATGAGAAATTTTTACCAATTTTGTGCACATTTGGATGTATTGATATAAAATTTTCAATTATTTTTAGATAATGTCCAAAACAGACCGGCACTACAGCTTCCATAAAGCTGATGCTTGTCTTGTTAAAGCAATGCAGAAATATCCGGAGTACGCGTATATTTATGAAACGAGAGCTGTACTGCAATTTGAGCACGGTAATGTTAATAAAGCAATAGAATACTTTAACAAAGCGATAGAATTGGATTGCAAATGCGAAATAGCATATAAAGAATTAGGAAAACTTGAAGTGCAAAGGTATGTTTTCAGCGTAATTGTTTTTAATAATTTTTGTACGAATTTTTTAAATAAATTAGATACAATCGCATATGTAGCTTATATAAAGAATCTCTCAAAATATAACGAAAATATTCTGAATTTTTTTCAGAGGAAACGTAGAGAAAGCAGTAAGGTTACTTGATAAGGCTTCAATAATCTCTCGTTCATATGTGGAACTGTTGCAAATATACATCTTCAGAAATTTTGCGAAAGTACAATTTGATATAAAGAATGAATTAGGAGGCGTTCTTCCAATCTTTCAGCTGCTTCCTCATTTGATCGCCATGGAAAAAAATCTGATGGAACAATCCGATTGGCCTAAAATGATTTCTCCCGCTGCCGAACTGAAGGTCAAGACTACCGATTTTATTTCAAGACACTTAATTGGTTTAGCGAAAGTCTATTTCTCCATAGTTAAAAAAAGAATATCTTGCACATTTATTAATGTATTTGTTGGTGCCTCTTAGCTTCTAAATAATGTCTGTAAGCATTGCTGAATTTCATGATAGTGAGATAATAGAATATGACGTTTACACGATAATGGATTTTCTTATTCGATCAAGACTTACAGTATTTATTTGTCTCTTCAGAACTTACGTGAAAAATAACTTGTAGTGCTTCTCATAAGAGGCATTATATATATATATATATATATATATATGTATTTATACTACATGGGCTGAACTGCAGAAGATAGTTTTTGACTGATTAAAATAAACTGTTCCTTTTAGATTCCTTTACAAATGGCGCAGAAATATAACAACGTAGGAAATGTATATTTCAGAATAGGAAAACAGGATGAAGCTATAGCTCAGTACAGTAAAGCTATTGACATCTGTCCAAAGGAAAATGTCGAGAATCTTGCGATTTTTTATCAAAACAGAGCTGCTGCGTATGAGAAATTGGTAATAAAATTGGTGATACTGATAATAAGCATAACATGAAAATTTAGTTTTAATTGGATGTTGAAGTTTACGTTGGTGTAAGTGTTACCGTGTATACAATTGTAATTATAATTTATAGAAAAAATATAGTTCTGTGAAAGCAGATTGCACAAAAGCTTTGGAACTAAATCCAAAATATACGAGAGCTCTGCTACGTCGGGCACGTGTTTTGGAGCAAATTGAAGACTTTGATGCCGCTATGAAGGATTTGACTATCGTATGTATTCATGAAGGATTTTCTAATCATGCTTCTCTTGTGATGGCAGATAAGGTCTTGAATAAGCTTGGTGAGTTAAATATAAAAATACGTGGTATTAAATAAAATACTGTCTCGACAAATTAGAATAAAAATTAAGAAGTAAAAACAGAAATTTAATGACTTAACACGAAAATTATTTTTAGTAATACAATACGCTGAAGAAAGTTGGGTGCATAAAAAGTTAATTTTACCAATTAATCATGACATCGATATATATATTTCATCTTTCCCTAAGGATCCAGTATTTTGTAGACTTCAGCGTCCAGAAAATATTCCAGAGTAAGTATAAGCAGAAAATTGTTTTTGTGTAATTTTAATGTTCACTTTTTTAATGTGTTTACCAGATTTTTCAAGAAACCGTTAAAAGCATTAAAAGATAAGGAATATGATGATATAATACCGTTATGTACGGAAATCATTAAAAGTCCGGAATTTGATACATTATCTTCAACTAAATTAGAGGTGCTATTATTACGAGCTACTTTTTACGTACTTTTGGGAGACTATAGTGCTGCAATTCAAGATTTTGAAAACGTATTGAACAGTGAAGATATGTCCGATGACTTGAGGATAAACGCCCTGATAAAGAGAGCGGAATTATACATGCGACTTAAAGATTTAGAAATGTCTTTCAAGGACTTCAAATTGGCCATTAGTATAAATTCAACATGTAGCGACATCTACTATCATAGAGGACGGGTATTACAAACATTAACGATGACTGCGTTCAGCAGAGAAAACAAATCAATTAGCGTTGTGATTCATTAATGTGATTGGTTCCTGCACTGAGATCCAACGAAAAATTATGGGCAATCATATTAAAGAATTACTAAGCACTAACCGATTAGTTTTTTCTGCTGAACGCAGCCATTGAACATATCTTGTCACACGCATACAGATGCACATATAATATAAACACTACTTTCTTTTCTCAGGCACTTGCGTTGATGGATAAAAAAAACGAAGCTAAGCTCGAATTTGAAAAGGCACTTAAATACAATCCAAACTTCAGCAACGCGTACATACAGAAATGTTACTTGGATTATTGTATTGCGGTATCAGATGATAATACGAGATTAGTCAGAGCAGCTATTAAAACTTTTGAGAGAACCTTTGTAAAGTATCCAAATCTTCCTCAACATACAATATGTTGTACAATGTATGCTACGGTACGTACAACTACTTATAATTTTGTAAGAAAAGTAATTGAAATTAAAAAGAAATACGTATAATAAGTTAGTACTATTATGTTGTGCACATTTTTTTTTATTAATTGGTGAAATTTTCAATCATTTATAGATTTTGACCGAAATTAAACAATATCAAAAGGCTGATAGTTATTTGATTAAGGCAATGGAGAAAAATCCCAAGTGCGCATCTATCTATGCAAACAGGAGCTTTCTACACTTACAGATTGATAATGTTGATAAAGCTATAGAATATATAAACAAAGCAATCGAGATTGATGAAAAGTTTGGACAGGCATATGCAGCATTAGGAACCATTGAAATAAGAAGGTATGTTTTCAGTGTAATTGTTCCTAATAACTGTTTTAGATTGAAATGTTTTAAATGCGCCAACTTAATCCAATACATGATGTAGGCCTAGCTTTTCATTCTTCTCTCTAGGTTAACTTGTAGTTAGCCTGGTGTTTTATGATCATACCATGAGTGAAGCCCGTTGGGTGAAACTTGTGGTTAAGTTTAATCACAAGTTAACTAGAAAATAATAAACTAGGCTTTATATATACAAAGAATCTGAAGATATTTTAGTGAAAATGTTTTGAATCCTTTTTTTCATTCAGAGGAAATATAGAGAAAGCAATAAGGTCATATGGCAAAGGTGTAACATACTGTAAAATGTTCACGGAACAGCTAGAAATACACAAGTTGAGAGAAGCAGCAAAAATCGAACTTTATATAAAGAATCAATTAGGACGTATTCCTCGCTTACTTCGGGAATTCACTCGATTCGTTGATATAGAAATGGCAGTAGAACTTATGGATTGTTTAATCAGTTAAGTTCTTATATTAAGATATCAATTTTGAACACGATATATACAAAGGATGTTCTAAAGAGTGAAGTATTTATTATCGTACCACATTATTTCTGATTAAAAGTTTAAGTTTATCACGACACTTTATATTTTTAATTAAATTTGATTTATAAACTGTAAAGAAAATAGTGATTTTAGTTTGTTATAGATTATCAATGCTATCAAAGCAATTAAAAAAGATATATATCACTTAAGGATTCTTATCTTTGCAAGATATTAAGTACAAAAGTAAATAACAAAAGACAATAAAGAGTCGACATCAAAATGTCATCATAATAGCGATCTTTAAAGTACGATCATTATATGTTCAATACGTACTAATTATCGCGTCAACTCTTTATTGTCTTTTGTAATTTACTTTTGTATTTGATTATCAAAATTAAAAGCTTTGAAGTAATTTTGTTAGTGTCTGAAGTTTGTAAAGCACTATTTAAAATTGTTTTACTTTGTGAGGTTTCTTTTTATGTTTGCACAAATACTAAAATTTGTTATGTATTCGTTTAAATAATTTTACATTCACAAATATGTTATAAGGTACAAAATGTAAGTGATTGTTTTATTTTGACCCCGCTGGGGTAAATTGTCTAATTATAAACTACATCTATGCCTAATATCTAAAATAATACACAAACAAAAATATCTCACCCTTTATATTAATTAGCACTACCCTTTCTCTTTCTAATCCTTCCCTTTTCATACTTTTAGCATATTACCTTTCTTTTAAGTTTCAATTTTTTTTATATTTCTGTACTTTCTTTGACAAACCGTACGATTTTGTACGCGTATATATTTAAAAAAAATATTTTTTATGTTACGCTGTAGGTAAAATTAAAAATGAATTTTTTTCTCTGAAATTTGATATTAGTTACCATTCAAAGTAAAACTGATAATTTTAAATGTTTATATGCCCCATAAGTCATGAAAAATCATTTAATACTGCTATAATAATATCAATATTGCTATTATAAACTTACTGCTGCGACAGTTAATATTTACTAAATAATAACTTTTCTAAATATTTCTTTGAATTGGTTATTTAGCTTATAATATCTGCTGATTTATAATTTTATAAATATTTAAATCTATATAATTTAAAATATCCGAAATTCTATTAGAAAAGTTAATTTTTTTTTATTCCCGAATACCATCTCGATCCATTACATTTTTTTCGCAATTTTGGAGCAAAACTTGAGTGTCGTTGCGATATAAGAATAATTCAATAATTGGAATATGTGTAAGATCTGTGAAAGGTCTTTACGATTATCAAGAAAATAAATAGATGAAAAAAGATACATTTTCTTAATACTTGTAAAGATCTTTCAAAGATTTTACACATATTTCGATTATTGAATTATTCTTATATCGCAACGATGTCCAAGTTTTGCTTTAAGATTGTGAAAGAATGTGAATGAAAGATTTTGTTCGTAAGCGCTCGCTGCTTTTGTATTCTTTTGGATCTAAATTTGATTGGATGATCTAGAATCTAAAAGAATACACCAATAACAGTGAGCGCTTACTCAAGTCAGCGTCAAGTGCTGTCAAGTACTGTCAAGTCCACTAAATACATTCAATGGCTACGTTCAACAGAACGTTTATTTTGCAACTGTTGAAAGTTTTCTTCGTGCTGACTGAATTATACTTTTAGATCTAGAAGAATGATCCTATCAGTAGACGATTATAAAACGATTGTAAAACTGTTGTTCTGCTGAAGACAGCCAATGTTAGCGCATTTTGAAACTTGTCCAAAAAAATACTGTGTTCATTAATTGATAGGATTGTCGCTATTCGTCAATTTAATATAATGAGAATAAACATTTCGCAATTTACCATCATATTTATTATGTACACTATAAATGTAATTTCTGTACTGAACAGAAAGTGGAAGAGAGATTCGTCGTATCTACATGTATACGCGATAAAATTGGCAGCTCGTAAATAACAATACATTTAGATCACGTGTCAGCAGGCACAGAGCAGATATGCTTCAGCTCTAATACCATGAATAAATTTCATTTTATCTGTTGATATTCTCGTTTAACTTATTAATCTTAAAATCATGTGTTATTCAAGCTTAGTTTAACATTTCTTTAAAATTGGAATTATCAATAAATAATAATATCGAGTATAAATAATATATAGTAACGCTCTTTGGTCTCAAAAATACTTCAGATACGACTTGAAATTAATTTTCAATCATTTTCTAGTACATTATCATTTTCTATTACATTATCCTCTAGAATAATTGTATTGTGCCTTTCTGTAAATAATGTCTCTTGACTTAGTGCAGGAACTTGTCGAGAAAATTCGTTAGTCGCCCATAAAAATAAATCCAATGTCTGCTCTGTGCATTCCGCTATGAATCTCACAAACGGTCGAACATCTCCGACGTTGGCTAGTTGTAAGTACTCATAATATTTATGGCGATGCTGTTTGTGGATAATAACGGGAGGATATCCAGCTTGCATGAGAATCATATTCATGAGCAAGCGGGACGTTCTGCCATTTCCATCAGTGAACGGATGTATGTGCACCAGTTTATAATGCGCGAGAGCTGCATACCTATAAATTTTTCCGATTAATTCCAATTCGTTGAATTCTATCACAAAATCTCAGATAAAAATACAATAAAAAAATATATGAAATTCGCACACCTCACTGGATGCATTCTTATGGCTTGTTCGCTGTTCAACCATAATACAAACTCCTCCATCAAATAATGTATATCGCCAGGACCTGGAGGTATATGGCCGCCAACGTATACTTGAGTCCTTCGAAATTGACCACCTTCGACGGGATCTACATGTCCAAGCACACGCCTATGTATTTCCAGTACATCTTTTATAGAAATGGACCCTACTCTGAAATATATTTACATGGATAATAAATAATAAACTAATAGTGAAAACATTTCTGTCGCTTACGTAAAATATACTCTATGAACTTACCTGTTAACCAAGGTCGCATTGATATATTTCATGGCAGCATCTAATCCAAGGATTTCATTATGTTCATCAATACTCTTTCCGGAGACCGCGATACGTGTTTCGACTATAGCTCTCGTTTGTGCAAGATTCATTGTATTTCCCTCGATCCCGACCGTATGATAGATATGTTGGAAGTAAGCCTCCTTTTTAGCGCGTATCAATGCAGCATTGTTATCAGGTATATTGGCTAATGTATTCCTCTTGTCATCAATTCGCCTAAGCATTATTCTGTCATGTTCTTCGACTACACGAGCTGTCCTCTGACTATTTATTAAAGCACCTTCGTGATTCGGTTTATAAGTTAAAGCACGCACGTAAAATTCATTAGCTTTTATCACATTGTTCTGGGTATGCTCCAAAAACTCTCCATAATGGTTCAAAACGTCTGGATGACAAGGTGCTAATGCCACTGCATGTTGAAACAATTTTATAGCTTTCTCCTGCTTTCCGGATAATCTCATATCTAGAGCTAAGTGCAAAGATGCCAGGGCTTCCGTTATCGACGCTGCAGTACACTGAACCTTACCAAGTTCGGTGTTGGGTTGTGAAATGGTGAGTGTATGATCATCATAGACATTCAAAATACCTTCTGAAGAAAGCGGCACAAACACAGAACGACCGTGATAAAATTCCTGTTCTAGAAAAAGACAACAGAATAAATTATTTATGATATTAACTGCATTTAAATCACAGCTTACAAATGATAGCATGATCAATTGCAGGACGAGAGATATCTTATGGTGCTTTCCAGCAAGTGTAACATAGTGATCATTACGTCTTTGTTCAATGTTAACAAACAAGGATATAACAAGTGCTTTTCATTTAGTGATACAAATCGAACATTATTATATTTTTCTTAACATTCAGTCTCTTGTATCAACTTGCGATACCAAATGAAAAGTATTCAATGATTCAGTATGTTACCCTGTATCATCTAGCTGCTCTCCTTTTAGTAGACAGTCAACGTAAACATCATTCTGTTTTTCTGACATACAAAAGTAAAAACAGCTCTTGCTGCAAATTGCCAGAAACGGTAGGCAACATAAAGTGTACAATCTCTCGTTGAAACAGTAGATATATCAGTTGCAACTCACCTGTGGAATCGGTGGACAAGCCGCCTATGTATTTCGATAGCAACGTACTGATGACAGCGATGACAATTCCAAGAATAAAAACAACAGGAATGAGGAGCTTTGGTGTCATACCGCCCGTGGGATCCGTGGGGTCCGTGGCATCCCCGCGTTTCACGTTCACGTGAGAGGTCTTTCCATTATGTACGTAATAATCGTAAAAGCATGCCGGCAGCATCCCTCCTCGCGGCAGTTTTTCACACTCTTGCTTCGAACGGTAAAGCGTGGCATGCTTGTCAACCGTGTCCGGTGTCACACGTACATGTGACGCAACGCGTCGCGCTCGTCTCGGATCGTCTCTGGAACGACACCAGACGACACCAGCCGAAGCGATGCGTCCATGTGGTTTGATCTGATTGGCCGGCGCCCGAGCGTTCCGCGAACATACGAGCGCCATTGGCTCTCGCGTTCCGCGTTCCGCCATTCCGCGAGTTTATCGTTCTCTTACACCGCCCAGTATCTTAAAAAACCACGACGCTTTTGAAAAGTTTATTGCAACATTCGCACGTTTCGAGATTCACAACACGACGCTTTTTTACTGACAGTTATGTCGGTAATTTTCGCTCGATCGTCGATCGTATTTACCGGCCGATGCGCGACTTATTTCAAACGTTCGGCGGTCCTTCCTTCTCTCACTTCTCCCACTCCCCCAATATTCTAATTGCCAGTTTGAAATTGAGCCGTTTTGTGACTCGTGTAACACGGAACGCGGCGACATTTACCGCGGAAACTGGAGCGGTAGCTGATCAATTTACCGCTTTTCTATAAAAGCGAAAGAACGATTAGCCATAGTTGATTCAATTAATTGGCTATAGCGCCAATTTCCGCAGCGCAGCAAGTGGCGCGTCCTTTTTGAAGGAGTCATAAGTCAGTTAGTTTTCGGTATATCTCGCGCTTGTCGAGTGTCTTCTCCGTTCGGAGCGTAAGTATATGTCGTCGAATCCAAAATACGGCGTTTGTATGATTGTATGATTGAGATGCGCTAAAGTCTATAAACGTTTATTGCAGCTCGAGCGTAGAGCGCGGTGTGCGGGCGCGTTTTATATCGTGTTTCGCGAACGAGGAAATTTGGCGCGCGGCCATTCAAGATGGCTGCTACTTCGTTCCCGAAAAGCGCGGCGTCGGTCAGCGTCGGTCGTCGACGGAAAGTGCTGGACAGATTTTAGATACTGCCCGTATTGTTATACAATTATAATCATTAGTTGTGTTATTTTTGGCGAAAATAAAATGTATGATTGAAATGTGCTAAAGTCTGACACTTGTCTCTTTGCAGCTCGAACGTGAACTGCGACATGTTGACCCGTTTTGTAGTTGTATTTTGCAAAAGGGACAGAGAATTTGGCGTGACCACTCAAAATGGCTGCTATTTTGTTCCCGAAAAGTGCGGCGTCGGGCAGCAACCGATTGTGCTGGACAGATTATAGGTATTTATGAACTGCCTGTATTGCATTATTGTTTTATAATTATTCCGATTATTTGTTGTTGATATCGTTCCTAACGCAATAAAAAATCGAATGTGTGAGGACTCGTATAGCACAGACCTCCAAGGGATGTCCTAAGACGATCCAGAGGATGTTCTACGTCTTAAGGACGTCTTCATGTCTCTTGAAGTACTGTGTTGTGTGAGAGTATCCGAATAAATATGGAGAAAATCGTTGCTATTGTAATACATTGTCCAATAAATCGACCAGAAATAACATAACATCGATATTATCATTTCACATTCAACAATACAAATGTAATATAACACATGTTGTATGTAAAGAGTGCCTCCCATTTAATAACAAGTCGACACAAATGTTCTTTCTTTGCATTCCATGAGTAATAAAGATAGAACAATACCTGTGTCAATTTGTGTCAAAGAGAAGGCATCCCGAGACAATTGAAAAGCACAGGCAATAGGAAAACGGAATAACAGATTTTAATCTATCAGAAAAAATGTATTTGATACATTGAAATCTGTTATTTCCTGATCCTATTTTCTGTTGAACAAAAAGACCAACCCAAAAGAATGGCATTTTGGCCAAACAGAATTTCTAGTATCATAACCATTTTCTGATTATCATAATTCTGTTTGGTTTCACCAAAATACCATTCTGGTCTTTTATTGATTTAACCAGAACATTTTCCTCTGTATTTTTCAATTGTAGGCGTTAGGCTGTAACATTTACATTGTCAAATGTAAAATTATAACGTCGGCGTTATGTTACTGTTAGTGTTTACTGGAAACAGTATAATTATATTTTAATTATTGCAAACAAAGTATTTTGGTATTTTGATCATATGACTTAAGACTGCCTGATTGGCTTTCATAACGAGCTAATACAAATTCAAGGTTTATTCGCGTCGCATGCTCCAATATGCTCCAACATGCTCCATCATGCTCTTACCATAGCTTCTACTTACTGTAACGCGCTCATTGGAGTAAGTAGAAGTTATAGGAGCATGTTGGAGCGTATAACGCTAACAAATCTATAGAAAAAAATACCATCTGAGCTATCAAAAATCTAGCAAATCAGTCAGTAGCTAGCAAGTTATACAAATTCCAGCATAACAGCCAGAGGTTATCAATACAGTAGCAAACTAAAAAAATAACCGTGTGATGTAAACTCAAGTCAAATTTAAAGGAAGATCAACAGAAGCATGAATAAAGCTTTTATTAAGAGATATAAATTGGAGCAACGAATTTTCGTCAAGGATATAGTATAAAAGTATATTATATTATACGATAGTAATCCTTGTATGAGTTAAAGAACATTTTATAATGATGAACGAGAGATGTTACAAGATGTTATGCACTAATTTTATTAGTTAGATCACTGCACAAAAAATAATTCAAAAATAATACAAAAAATAATACAAAAAGCTTTATAACGGTAGTCATTTGTTAAACAAATTCAGTTTGGAGCTGTTGAGATTCTTTCATACAATTGCAAATAATTTAATGAGATTAACAGCTAATCTCGATAGTTACATACATATTTAACCAAATTTCTATTCGCAGAAAGGCGAAAACGTCGCTATTCTGCACACTTCTTTCAAAAGTGCTTTTTATAGTTTCATGTATCTTTTCTAATTCTCGCACTACCGACTCGACATCGCCACGGTGGGGCAAGTATCTTTTTATGAAAACTTTCCTGAAAAAATAATAATGCAGTCTATAAATATTAGAACTAGACCGACTTATTTAATTATAAATGCTATTAGTTTTCTATGAACGATACAACTAAGAATCATTAAAAAATCTAATTTTATATTGTTTTTTGGGTTGTCGATTTGTATTAAAAAATTTGGGATCTTACTTTAATTCGCGAAGTAGGTACGCTCTCGCTACTAACACGCGAATAAGTTTGTAAAGTCGAAGGGCTAGGAATTATTTCACAGTCCACTTTACAGGTCCTAGAGACACAGTCTTTTTTCTCCATTTTTTTGGAAATGCTACTAGATGTAGAACTTCTTGACTTCGTCTCGTCTCTGTTAACAATTAAGGCAATTAATATAATAACTATAAAGAACCTCTCTTTATGTTACATGGATTAGTTATTCATAAAATTTGAGAGATCTCGATGAAATGAATTAGTTTTTACATGAATATGATATAGCTTATAATATAGTGAATAAAAGATGTAATAGATGCAAGGTTTAATAATAATGGATAGTTTTTATGAACTATGGTGTACCAAAGGTGTAAAATTTGTGCTCACAGCATTTTTGATACAACATGGTTCAAAAACTATTATGTATTATTGAGCGTTGCTTTTTTGACACCTTTTGTTCACATTATACGCTATATATGAAAATTAATTCATTTCACCGGAACCCAATTTTTCATGTAATTATGGGATCCTTTAATATGTGGCTAATACGAGTCAAAGCTGCAGATGTATGTACAATTATATATCTAGAGACACTGGTAGTGTCTCGGCGCTAAGCTACGCGCAGCGACACTGCCGTGGCTACTTTACGCAAGCTGGCGAGTTGCCAGGAATTGAGATTATTGGATCTCAATAAGGGGGTTATAAATACAAGAATTTTAAATATTCTTCAGCTATTTTTCTCTTCTCTTCTCTTGTCTATGTACAATTCAACTCTTAAAGGAATTCAGAAAATGAAAAAAAAAGAAAAAAAGATTGAAATTTTATTGTATGTGCATTCACATCTTAAGTTTGTGGTCTCACCACAAATAAATATATTTTTTTATTGGTTTTTTTATTAAATATATACTTTTTATTGGTCTCAAATTAAAATACGTACTTTTTATATAAACGAATGATTTTATTCACAATTAATATATGTCTATTATGTGTGTAAAAAAATTCTGCTCTTAGCGTTTTATCGAATGGTACCTGTAAGATCGTCGATCCGAAAGCTTATCGGCCTGAATTTTTGTAATTTGCGGGACACGACACTGCTGGGGCGATAAGGATGTGGTATTTGTGGTATCGTAACGAATCCTCTGAAAAGAGAAATTAACAATGACTAAGGGACCCCGTGTGATCGACGTGATCGTAATCATTGGGATCAAAGATGTGGGGCAAAAGGAAGTTGAATTTTACGTAATTTCTCCGTTCCTCGGAAGAGCGGTTTTCGTTTCCGGAGCGGCATCGCCAGTTCCACGTCGTGGAACCGTGTAATGAGGATTTCTTGACTGATCGATCTTGCACCTGGCTGCGTCGCATGACGATTATGCGATCGGTATTGTCAGAGTTGCCGGACGTACCATTTCGTAAATTACTTTTCGCCATTCTGTATCAATATAGTAAAGAAATATTTCCATGCTATTGAATAGTTCTGCAAAAATATATTACTAGCATATACATATAAAGAATATTTTTTTTATATGTAAAAATATGTGTAAAACATTTATATGTGATTTTATACTTATATAATATATACAAGATATTTTAATTGCCTATTATTTAATATAATTAAATATTATAATGAGGAATAATATGTATATAATGTGAGATAAAATAAATAAGTCTGTTCGTTGTAAAGGAAGTCTACAATTAAGTTTCAGTAAATTTTAAATTTGATTTAATTATAAATTCTACTGAATTTTTCTGTCTGAAAGTAATATCGATTACGTACGAAATATTTTTAAAAGTTCACATTTTCAAGACTTGCATTTTGAAGAATGTAATTATACTTTATATATATATTTAATTGCCACCTGATAGTAGTTGACGATGAAATGTCTTCAGTTCGACACATAGAATTTCGAAGAAGACGCGGTGGTAGGTGATAAACAGAAGAAGCTTGATACAATTTATGCTTTCTGTTAAAAGTTACATGTTCGAATATGAATAAATTATAACGTGAAAGAACTTTCCTGTAAAATATTATCTCCCTTAATTGGTACTTACTTAATATTATACATGCCGCCAATTTCTCCATACTTTCGTCTCATTATTTCAGCCTCGACGGCAGCCGTGGTTGTTCGCATTGCCGTCGCGATCTCGTTCATTATCTATAATAATCAGTGATGTAATCCCCTTGCACGAGTATTTCGTATGGCGTTACTAATTGGCGTATATTTTAAAGTCTACCAAAAAACCGCAGAATAAATGCGGCAGTAAAATTGAAAATTCAGTGCATAATAACGCAGGGCATGCAGCCAGCATGAAAATAAGAGGGTTTATTAAAATTGAAAATTTTACCGCGAATAATAAAAGCATGGGTTTGTTAAAACTGGAAAATCTACCGTGAACAATAGGAGTATTTTCAGGGAAACAAATTAAAATGATTTAAAATGCGGTTTAAAAAATGTATTATTGAAATATATCAAAGTTTGGAAAAATGGTTCTTCGAGAATAAAGTCAAAAATATCAAATGCAGAATTTAAAAAATCGTAAAGATAATGTACGTTATTTTCTATGCATGTTCCTTTTCAAATTCCTCGATTGTGATCGAGGATTGTGGAGTATCTTGCATATATTACCGAGACGTGATTGGAAACGTTCAAGTCGTCTTCAGAGTGAAAATGAAAGCTACTCTTCGATGTCACAAGGATCCAAGGATGATCAAGAATCTCTCGAATGGTGATTCTTTCGCGAGCCGATGGAATGAGCAAGCGGTTTATTAAGTTCCTGCATTCGATCGACGTTTGGTACATAGCTTTTTCCTGGATCGATGTCAAGCCCCTATTGATTTGGATCATCAGCCTCCGTCGACGTTCCTCTGATGACGTCCATTCGTCGCGGGGGCACAGGAATGGAAGTCGACCGATAGTCATGCCATATAAAACGACACCTCTGTTTGTCACATCATAGCATAGTGTTTAAATGTTTCGCCAAAGAGTGTTTTTATATGTACTTTTATATTGCATTAATAACTTTTAAGCCAAACTGCCAAATTTATAATACTTCTTGACGCTATATAATGTTCGAGTTATTTAAAACAAAATTTTAATAAAATATATATATATATTATATATCTTTGGATTTACTTACAGGCTCCACAAATCTACTTCCGGCCCATATCGTTTACCTACGACAAAGAGTTCGGGAGCAGCGTACTCTGGAGATCCGCAGTGCGTTCGCAGAGGATCGCCGCTGGCGTAAATATTGCTGAGACCAAAGTCTATAATCGTGAAAAACATCTGTCACCGAATTGGTAAGTTTTCTTTATAAACAAATTTTTAACCTTCGATTGCTATTAAAGCTAAATCGCGTAACTATCGCTTTTAATCCGCAGTTCTAATATATAAATATTAATTATATAGTAAAATAAATAAATATTTGAAGACAAGACTATGTGTGTGTATATCTTCTTTTTTTTCATTTTCACAAATAAAAAATATTCGTAAAAATAAGAAATATATTTTGCATTTTATTTAATATTTTTGTTGCCTTAATATCAGATGTATCATAGCAATATATGTATATAGCAATCGAAGGTCATTAAGAATAACGGGCATTATGTTTCTGCGTAATTATATAAATTGCGGCCAATTTCATCGCAAGTGCAATTTTTTATGCGGAGCTCTGCCGAGCACAGGTGGATCTGATTTCACGCTCGAAAATCAAGCGTCACGCGAGCGGAAACATTATAGTTGCGATTTTCGCGGTGCACGCTAATCTACGCGGTTCGATCGATGGCGATTGCCACAATCACCGCGACCATAATGCTCTCTAGTCCCGCGTGATACGTCGACGTCCGTGTATACACGTCTGCCTCTCACCCACTATCTTGATCTGTTCCTTGCGTTCGTCCTGCAATACGATGTTCTCCATTTTAAGATCTCTGTAACAGAATCGTAAAAATTAAAGAGAAGTTGATCTCAATGTCTATTAAATAAAATATTTCAAAAAGTTATATATATAAGTACGTTATATTTAAAAAAAGTTTTTTTTTTCATATTCAAAGCAATAATGTTATTTATAATACCAAAATGAAATACATGCTAATCTTGTAGTATGTTATATAATAAAATATATAATTATGTACACATTCTACAGTCACTTAACTGTATACACGTATATATTATATATATAACATACTACAAGATTAGCATATATTTCGTTTTAATAAACACTAGATGGATATAAAATGATTCTTTTCCAAAGAAAATTTTGAAAAAGTTTATTCTTTATCATAACATTTTACAACTCAATACATTTAATATTCAAAAAGTCTAATTAAACTAAATTTAAATTATTCAATAAATTCGTTTCGAAAAATTTAGGTATTTAAATAAATAATAGGCTTTGCTATTTGATTACATTTCATTATCTTATACGATGTTATGATATTTTAATTAAAAAAACAAGTGCCAATTTGATTAAAAGAATTAAGATTAGAGTTGATATTTTTTCTTTCGTGATGTTATCTCGTTCTATCGATTTTAAGATTACGATTTTTTGGTATCTCTGATAGAGTAAGGATTACGCAGGCGGAGATTGCAGGCGGGTGAATGCAAAAAAAGTCCGCGCCGTATGCATATGCAATGCGTGTGCAGTTTGCACGATCACGTAGCGCGAGATTAACGCTCTCGGCGCAAGAACCCCGTGGCCCTGACCATCGCGCGAAGGTCTCTTTGCTCGTATCGCCGTCTACGAGCGCGGCTCGCGGACCTTGCAAATTGTCGTTTCGTCGGCATGACGGCCTCCCGGCCTCTCGATGATGTCGAGTCCTTTCGTTTCTTGATCTTTTGTATCCTTGATGAAATGTCAACGAAATGGAAATAATGTCTTCGAACGATTCGTCTCAATGTGGACGTAATTCTTATCTAGATGTCATTTTTTCACCAACATTGTAAGATTTGTATTATTTCTCCTCAAAATAAAATCGCAGAGATAATTCCCTACATCTATCGAATATAAATTGTATATGCAAACAGTAGTAATTTCTTATTTTTTTGATACTGTTTTTAAAACTCGCGACAATATAGTGAAAGATAGTGAGGTAATTGAAGAGTATCTTCAAATTAGTTACCAAGGAATTTACAAATAAATAAAATGATGTTATTAGCTGTGTAAAATATATACGGAGAGGAGAATATCGGCACATTTTGTAAAATTGGTTTCGAATTGCAGAGAAATTCATATAAAGAATGATATCAAAACTTCTACAGCTAAGGCTAGCTGTCATCGGGATCAGGCGGCAACGGCCCTGTAGCTTATCCGTGGCAGAGACCTTGGGACCTTGAAACACATCATTAAAATCGCATCGCCAGCGCGCGCGATGCGAGAGCGGAGTCAGTATGCGCTTTGGGTGTCGCTAATAAGTAATAAAAGAGGACTCGCTCCTCGGAACACGTGCCCGCGGCGAGGTTAATACCGTCACGGGATGCAAGGCGCTCTCGACGTGGTCGTTACACGTTGGCGGAATCTAGAACGTCCGCAGCATTTTTCTTTATTCCCCGTGGCTGGCCACCTTCCATCGAATCTGGAATCGTTTAACTCCCGCGAATACAAATTCTCTAAAGCGTTCACCCAAAGAAAAAACGTGATGAAATAAAACAGTGAACGGTTTCTTCGAGTAGTTTGTCAGATTTGTTCGTGTTGCTTGAAAGCCTTAAACGTTTTTTCACTTAAAGCGAAATAAATATATATTTAGGCGTTAGAGAAAGAGAGAAAGCAAAGATGCTGTAAGTGCAAAAAGTGTAAGCAACACAAACAACTAAATCTAATGTTAACTTATTGAGCTACATCTGTTGTTTTGTTATTCTCAGTTCGAGCTTCTTACTCTCATATATCTAATAATTATGCAAAGACAATCATCTTTAATTAGTAATAATACTAATAACAATATTTTTATTGCTATTGATTAGAGGATAATTGCCTTTGCACCATTATTATATGAAAGTAAGAAGCTTCAACTTACAATTAGAATAATGAACAAACAGTACAAGATCAATAAATTAATATTAGGTTTAGCTGTTTGTGTTGCTTGCATTCAGAATCTTCGCTTTCTCTCTCTCTCTCTAATACCCGAATATGTATTTATTTCGATGTTTTAGTAAACAGGAAATGGAGGAATTTATTAAATACGAGAAATTTACAATAGTAATATACATACAATTTTGTTTTCTTTTTTCTAAAAATACAGAAATTTTTACGGAAATAAGCAAGAAGAAAGAATCCTATTCAGTCAAAACTGAATAGAAATTTTATACGAACATATATAATTTGTGTTTATATCACTGGAAAGTTCAACAAGCATGACATTTTAAGTATAAGACATGATAGATGTAATCTATAACATAAAACACGTTCAATTCCATAATACCAATTTTATATTTTTCTTCGAAACGATTTCATAAATTCACTGACGAGAAAATCAATGCAATTAATTAATATCTACGCATTGATTAATTATCAGGAAGGATATTACGTAATTATCAGATCTTATAATCAACATTTTAAATTTACAGTATTAGCCTAAAAATACGATATGTTAAGTCGAGATACCGAAGGAAGGTATATCCATATTCCGATAATCAAAGTACAGTGTATCATTGTATGTACGGTACTCTAATACTGAATCGTGAGTATCGCCGGTTTCGAGCGGATGTACCAAGCGCGGCCTCCGAACGATGCGTTTCTGCTGCATCCTCGACTGCTGCGGGATAATAGTCGAAACGACCCTGAAGCCGAGGCCACGGTTGTTCGTTGGCCTGGGCGATTACGTTTCTTTTCCATCGTCGTAGAAGCCGCCGCGGCAGCGCGCGTTCCTGGGAACGTGCGTTCGCGACGAACTTTCGCGACAGATCGCACGAGATCCGATTAAAGTTTGAGCTTGTCCCGCGCCCGTTCGCAATCGCGCGAACATAATTGCCGGCGTAAAGCGACAGGTGGTCTCGCGGGTCTGATAGAAAAAAAAAAAAAATAAGAGGCATAACAAAAAGCGCGAAATACGTCCCGCACGCCCCGGCGCCGTTAACGATCGTCTCTTCTCTCGCCACCTCTCGCTCTGAAAATAAACTCGCGCGGCCCGTGACAAAAGTGATCGATGAACACAGCGATCCAGATATTCCCGGTGATCCACGGACGAGCGACGGGAGATGAGTTCGTGTATTGTAAGATGGAGCCACGGGTTGTATCTGAGGGAGATTGCATTCTGCGCAGTAGAATTTCTCTTTTCTATTGTAAATAAAAGGCGAAATCTGAACGAGATTTTCGTTATCTAGTCTTTCGTATACCATAATTTGTTAATTAAATAGCCAGTCTTATATAAAAAAGAGTGGCTCCATTTTCAACCTTTGAGAGTAAGATCTCTAAAAGTTTTAAAGAGTATCTGTTTCTCTTTTCATTCTTCTCCGGATATTAATTGTTTCTTATGCAGAAGCTATATTTGAAATATTTTACACAAATAATATTAATTATGTACTGTAAAAAATAGTTATAGGTTAATATCATGGTGTTAAATCCATCATGACATTAACACCAACACAGTGAGAATTATATAGACGTTATATCACGTGGGTGTTAAATTCACACCAGTGGTATTAGATTCACACTGATACTTTTTAGAGTGCGTCTTAGTGTCTATTATAAACGTATATTTTTCTTTATTAAATTTTTATTATAAGCAACTACCAGTCTACATCTATAAGGTCTATATATTTCAACATAGCATTTGCGTTAAACTTGGTGAACAGTTTTGAAAGGCAGACGTTTTGTAAGATTCGCTCTCATAATTTAACCTGTTCCTGTTCCATGCTACCAAGATACTTCTTTTATGAATTTATTGCTAATTGACAGTTATCCTTTACGTATCGCCGAACAAAGTGATAGCATCGCGTATCGTACACGTTTTCACAGACGCATTTACCTCCTCGCGCTCGTAAATGCTCGCGCGCGCGTTCGATGCACCCGCTCGAATGCGCGCATCCGTAAGTACTTAAATTTAATTGCTGGCCATGACCGTTACATCGCGGCAGTTATTTCGGTCTTAATAACCCGGGTCCACCAAGCTGTCGTTCGGTTGAGCGGGGTCATGTCCGTGTTACGAGTCGCGAAATCGCCGCGCGAAGATGTGCAAGACCGAAATTGCGAAATTGTACGTAGAAGAGAGCGATTTATCGATCCTTTCGCAAATAAATATTCGATACGAGGCGCCGCATTGATATGCACATAAGCATGGAATAGGTACGAGAGATATTTGGGATGCGATGCTCGAGGCGAGGTTTTAATAAACCGTCCAATACGCATCCGGACTTGTATATGATAAATCGGTCGGCGCGCGAGATGCTTATGGAAAATAATTCGAGCAGTTTGGTGGAGAAAATTAGGACTCTTAGAAGAAGTCTCGAGCGCTCTCGTTGCTTTAATATTAAAAATTAGTTAACGTGATAACTTTGTACTGAGAAAAATTGTTTGATATTTGTGACTATAATTGCATGGTAAAACAATTAGGATCCATTTTTATAGTTATTGTTAAAAGTAATAATTATATTTATAATTCTATAGAAAAATATTTAGTTGGCACCGAAAACGAGTATACATTACAATTATTTTCGATAATAACTATATATTTTTTGGTATATAAAACTAAATATAATTTTTATTACTAATATAGCAGTAACTATGAAAATGGAGCTCTTAACTTAATAATTATTTATAGTAACAAATATTTTTCTCTCAGTGTATTATAATTTTATTAGAGATTTATTAGAGAAAAGCACGGGCGACCTTTTTAGCCGCTTATTAGATACACATGTATTTGTAATGTCGAGGTTTTAATACGTTCTTACTTTTGCAGCTAGTTTAGACTCGATTCCAAGTCGCGAAAGAATACGC